TGCGGCAGGCCCGCGTTCCATCAGCATTACGAAGAAGACGAGGAGGAAGAGGAGGAGGAAGAAGAAGAGGAGGAAGAGGATGAAGAAGAGCGGGAAGAAAAGGTTCCCCATGGGTTTGCCGACACCGACAATTACTACAGCGTGCTCGGAGTCAGAAAAGACGCCAGCGAGGATGTGATGAGGAAGGCCTATCGGAAGTTGGCGTTGCGGTACCACCCGGACAAAAACAGCGCTCCTGGAGCCACAGAGGCCTTCAAGGTGAATGGGGCGGTGGGATGCAAGGGATGTGTGAGTATGTGGTGATGGATCTTTTAAAGGAGAATTATGAGGCGAGTGATTTTCATTCAGCCTCATAATCTGAGCCGACCTGAGACAATGAGACTGTCACAGGTCGGCTCAGTAGATCGGGAAGTGAGCGAACACATACCGATGCTCGCTCACTTCTCGATCTATCTGTGCAGAGAGCCGTGGCTGTCACTCACTGCGCACTGCATGGATTCCCCCCTGTCCGATCCTCCAGCGCTGACTGGGCGGAAGGGGCGGGCACAGCTCTAGATAGGCAGAGCCAGCTGTCACTCACGCAGCTGGGCGGATCCAGACAGAATTGTCGGGATCCGTCCCGGCTGCGGCGTCCCAGTATACTGCAAGCTTTAGCTCGGGGTATACTGAGCTTTGGGTCACAAGAGGACGCTAGTTTGTGTCCTCTCGTGACCCTTAGGAGAACTATGGGGAAAAACCCTGACCCCGTAGTTCTCCTTTAAGGTCATTATGATGTCAGGAATCAAGGACCTCCATGGGAAATTCTATTAGGGGCGGCCATAACTCTGCTTCTCCAAGAATCCAAAATTCCTTTCTTATAAGAATGTTATCACGCAGACCTACTTATGGAAAATGTACATGTAGCGATAACTCCCCGCAGGGAGCCGCTGTTTGCCCGGTCCTCATCTAGTCAGTCTAGGGGTTGATTTCCAGCCGCACCCATTAGCACTAACCACCCATAAATTGATGTCCACTTCAGTAATATGATGCTAATTAAACAGTTTATTGAACATCTTGCTTTGGGAGAGAGGGTATAGGGTCTAGGTGCACAGGCCTCCTTAGCTCCAGACTCACCGCATCTTATCTTTAAAGAAATACACATCCACAATCCATGAAAGAAGCCCTGACCAGGCTCTGAAGTCCTCATAGATCCAGGGCACCTCAAGAGCCTGCACTGGTCCTGGTTCTCTTTCCTCCCTCGATCTCTCAGGCCTCCTCCATGTTGGGAGCCCCAGGGGAACATCTTCCCTTACTTCAGCCACTGCCCACTCCCAGGCCTCGGCCTAGCCTGGGGGGCAGGCTGAACAGGACCCAGCCCTGATCCATGGCTGGCCCAGGAGAGAGAGAGAGCACATGGCAGCTCCCACCAATATATGTACACTAACCCAGCAGACACCACACTCACCCAGCAAGAAGCCCAGTGACTGGCTGCTGTACTGTACACATATTACAGTGTCTCCTATTGGCTGTCCCACTCCGCCCAGGGGGGGACAGACAAGGTTAGACACCTGGGAATCAACCATGTACTTGCTGCTACAAATCCAGCCAGGCTGTCTACAGTCCCGGCTACCACTAAATGCATGGTAGTCCCATCGCAAAAGGTGATGGGCGCTACATACATATACCAGCTTACTTAGGATTGCCAATACTGTTGAGTCTATCTCCATCGGTTGGCAGTAAGGGAACACCTAACGTCTGACGGTTGCTGCCCTGCCAGCTTCCTTACCTTACGCAATGACTCCCGGATCCTTTACCAGGGTAAGAGTACAGAACCCTGCACTTAAAGTGCACCTGTCAGTAACTTTACAAGTCTGCATGAATACATTCCTGACGTGTCACGTTATAAAGCAACGGTATCATTTTGCAGAAAAGTCACCTGCGAGCTCTACTCATGTGACTTTGCCTTGGTACATTCTGAAATGGGTGCACGCAGCTGTCAGTGTGCCTCCCCCGAGTAATGCTTTCCTTGCATTGTAATATCTTCTCTTACATTGGTGATCAGTGGGGAGCCCCAGTAATATCTTCTCTTACATTGGTGATCAGTGGGGAGCCCCAGTAATATCTTCTCTTACATTGGTGATCAGTGGGTGTTAGGGAAGGAGCAAAGTCCCCCTGTTTGCTGGATTGGAACCCAATAGCAGGGAACAATCCCAGAAGGAGAGTCCAGGCTGAGGTACAAGAAAGGATCATCCAAAATGCGTTGTCAGAGTACAGTCCGGGTCGAGGCAGGCAGCGAGTATCATAAACGGTGAGGCAAGCCCGGGGTCGATAACCAGGAGATCTGAATAGCAGGGAAGGAAGGCAGGAAACAGGAAATGAGGCGTTGTAGCTGCTTTGGGAATGGCAGAATAACTCAGCAACAAGTCTTGGCTCTGGCTGGAATTTAAACCCAGCAGGGGCCAGTGACGCCCCCGTTGTCTGGGCAACCAGGAAGCCACAGGTCCCTGCGAACCAATGGGATGACTGGGAGAGAAGGAGTGCTCTCAAGGCCCTCCCCGGCAATGACCAGCACCCGAAGCGACTAAGAAGCCACGGCAGTGCCACATGCGCATGTCACGCACGCACGCATGTCATGCGCTCATGTGTACACCTGCAGCACGCCGCCGGGCACCAATTTACCACAAAAGGACCCTACGATCTCTGTCGCACCCGCCGGACCCCAGGTAAGAGGGCACCATGGTCCCACGACAGTGGGGAGCCTCAGTAATACCTCCTCTTACATTGGTGGTCAGTGGGGAAACGCAGTAATACCTCCTCTTACATTGGTAGTGTGTAGGGAGTCCCAGCAACATCTCCTCTTACATTGGTAGTCAGTGGGGAGCCTCAGTAATACCCCCTCTTACATTGGTGGTCAGTGGGGAGCCCCAGTAGTATCTCCTCTTACATTGGTGGTCAGTAGGGAGCCCCAGTAATACCCCCTCTTACATTGGTGGTCAGTGGGGAGCCTCAGTAATACCCCCTCTTACATTGGTGGTCAGTGGGGAGCCCCAGTAATATCTCCTCTTACATTGGTGGTCAGTGGGGAGCCTCAGTAACATCTCCTCTCATTGGTGGTGTGTAGGGAGTCCCAGCAACATCTCCTCTTACATTGGTAGTCAGTGGGGAGCCTCAGTAATACCCCCTCTTACATTGGTGGTCAGTAGGGAGCCCCAGTAATACCCCCTCTTACATTGGTGGTCAGTAGGGAGCCCCAGTAATACCCCCTCTTACATTGGTGGTCAGTAGGGAGCCCCAGTAATACCCCCTCTTACATTGGTGGTCAGTAGGGAGCCCCAGTAATACCCCCTCTTACATTGGTGGTCAGTAGGGAGCCCCAGTAATACCCCCTCTTACATTGGTGGTCAGTATAGAGCCTCAGTAACATCTCCTCTTACTAGGGTTGCCACCTTTTCTTCAAACTAAAGCCGAACACTCTAGCGACGTGCAGAATTTTTTTTTGGGAGAATGAGTCGTGCCTTATTCATATGTAAATAGCACCACCCATTCATATGTAAATATCACAGTTGAGACAATTCAGTGGTGGGCCAGTAGCCCCTATCGTACTTTTGGTTGCCCCTGTCTGTCTGACATCTTGTGTCCGGGTTTCTGCTGCCATGAAACCCGAACACAGCATTCAAGACCCGGACTGTCCGGGTGAATCCTGGACAGGTGGCAACCCTACCTCTTACATTGGTGGTCAGTGGGGAAACCCAGTAATACCTCCTCTTACATTGGTGGTCAGTGGGGAGCCCCAGTAATATCTCCTCTTACATTGGTGGTCAGTGGGGAGCCCCAGTAATATCTCCTCTTACATTGGTGGTCAGTGGGGAGCCCCAGTAATATCTCCTCTTACATTGGTGGTCAGTAGGGAACGCCCAGTAATATATCCTCTTACATTGGTGGTCAGTATGGAGCCCCAGTAACATCTCCTCATACAATGGTGGTCAGTAGGGAGCCCCAGTAATATCTCCTCTTACATTGATGGTCAGTAGGGAGCTCCAGTAATATCTCCACTTACATTGATGGTCAGTAGGGAGCTCCAGTAATATCTCCACTTACATTGATGGTCAGCAGGGAGCCCCAGTAACATTTCCTCTTATATTGGTCATCAATGGGGAGCCCCAGTAATATCTTCTTATACATTAGTGGTCAGTAGGGACCCCAGTAATATCTCCTCTTACATTGGTGATCAGTAAGGAGCCCCAGTAACATCTATTCTTTCATTGGTGGTCAGCGAGCCACCTATTATGGTGCCTCTACTATAATGCTCCCCGGTATAGTGCTTTTCATCAGTATAGTATTAGAAAGTCCCATCAGTGCCACCCTGTCAACCTGTGCCACCAATTTGTCCCCCTCATTGACACCATCATGCCCTGTGTCAGAAGTACTTGCTTTCTTCCTCTCTACATATATAGAGCAGCACAGGGAAGCGGTGGCAAGACATACCTACCAGCTCTGGTTAGCTGGTCCCCACCAGTCCACCTCTCACATCATGTCACATACAAACACCCAGGATGAAAGATAGAGGAGGATCGCGAGGACCATATCGGCAGGACAAGAAGCTGTCTCGCCTCCACTTCCCTGCACCGTTCTGCATATGGGGGAAAGAGCACTTCTGATTGAGGGTCGGCAGGGATGTCAGCTACCTGGCACATGACATGACCTGTTGCTGACCACCAGGTTAGACCCTCTTTAATTTTTTACTTCTGTCTGGGGAGATTACCCTTTCTCTTTGTCCCGGTATCCATTGTCACCAATCGAGATACCCTGTTTCCCCGAAAATAAGACCTACCCCGAAAATAAGGCCTAGTACTATTTTTGGGAATTGCTAAAATATAAGACCTACCCCAAAAATAAGACCTAGTTGTGACCATTCCCAGGGCCGGTGGTGGCATAAGGGGGAACTTGAAGAGCCGCGGGAGAGAATCAGCGGTGTCAACGAAGCCGGCGCTAGAGGAAGAGGCGGCACCGGAGGGAGCAGAGCCGCATAAGCCGATGCTTCCTCTATAGCGCCGGCTCCTGTCACAGGCGGAGTGATACCAAATGTGCTCCGCCTGTGAGGAATCGATAGTGAAAGTGCGCTTCCCTCATTCTGGCCAGCGATTGGTTAGCAAATTGCTCTTGGAAAGGTACGGCACCCCTGATTGCCCTGATCACCACATTTTTGTACATGTAGACTGGTGTACATGAATAAGTGTGGATTGCTGTACATAAAAAAAAAAATAAGACCTACCCGAAAATAAGACCTAGTGTGTGTTTTTTTGAGCCCCAAAAAATATAAGACAGTGTCCTATTTTCGGGGAAACATGGTAGTAAGGGAAATCCTAAATTTCCAGTTGTTACCGGAACAGGTGAAGGTAAATCTTCCAATGGGGACACCAGTTCCCGTGACAAGGGAAATTTTGAGGGGATTTCCTCTTACTTCCTGTTATGTCTCCAGGACAGGAAGTAGAAGTAAAAAAAAAACAGAAAGCCTTTTAACCCTTCCCTGCTCTATCCAAAACTAAAGAACAGTTTGGGCTATCACAAACTTTAAGCTGGCCATAGAGGTTCCCATGTAACTATACAATCTCCTTCAACTGGTCCCTGCAGCCTCTTCTTCCCCTCTAAGACCCATGAGTGATCAAGTCTAATACAGTGTATTAGACGTGAGGATGCAGAGTGACATGCCACCGCTGCAGAGGAGGGAGAGAGAGGCTGTGCGGACCAGTCTAGCAGCTAGGCATGATTGAGGATTGCACCATTGGTTGAAAGAAACTCAGTGATTGGTTGCTGTACTGTACATACACTTACAGTGCTTCTCATTGGCTGCCCTACAATATAGCAGAGTCACGCTCCACCCATGGGGGTGTACAGGCAATGCCAGATACTTGGAATTAACCAGATAAATGCCACCATAATCCAGCCAGGCTGACTACAGCCCTGGCAATCACTAAATGTCTAGTAGCCACATCACAGAATGTAATGGGGGACTACACGAGCAAAGGTTGTGTAATGCTGGTTGGGTTCCCATAGTGGATGTCGTTGGAAAAGGGCAGAAGTATGTATTTTCCGGGCAGGCTACACTTAGGGAAGGGTGGGGGCATTAATTAAAGGAAAGCTCTTCTAAAGGTTTTATGAGATTTTAGTCAATGGGCTTTACTATGTTAATGATCTCTTTTAATGTGTTTTAGGTGATTGGAAAAGCATTTGCTGTTCTCAGCGATCCAGCCAAAAGGAAAGTATATGATGAGTCACAAAGCCAAACACAAGCATCCCCAGAAACCGACATGCCAACCAATGATGTCTTCGATATGTTCTTCAGGGGTCATTATTCAGCTCGGGCGGCTTACGGCTTTAATGGTCATCCAAGAGAGCAAAGGCAAACAAGCAGAGAGGAAGATGGTAAGTGGCAGAAGTGGGCATCTGGAGAAGACAGACAAGACATGCCAAGATGGCAAAGGGAGGAGATGAGGCATAACACCGAACAAGAATGGAAATGGAGAGAAGAAGCGTATAACGAAGGGAGAAGACAATGGCAGTGGGAGAGAGATCAGAAACAAGATGGAGGACAGCCAAAATGGCAGAAAGAAGCCAAGCGAGAACCAGGCAGGCCAAAAACTCAGCAAGAAAGGAGGCAGGAAGCTGAACAGACCAGCCCAAAGTGGTGGGAAAAGAAAGGCCAAGACAACCGAAAATCAAGGTGGCGTGAAGAAATGGAGAAACAAAATCTCAGACGCCCGAGGAGACCGGAGGAGGAAGAAGTTGGTCAGCCCAAAAACGCATACTCCGCTTTTATCCAGGTTCTGCCAGTGCTTATCCTCGTGGTGGTCTCTGTGGTGGCTCAATTGACAGCCAGCACGCCATCATACAGTCTCCATCCTAGACCATCTTCTGGCTTGACCATCCCCAGGGAGACCAGCAGCCGCGGAGTCCCGTACTACGTGGGGCAAAGTTTTCACACGCGTTATCGAGGTCCAGCTTTAGCAGAGCTGGAGAGGGCTGTGGAGAAGGAGTACGCAGAACAAGTCCAGGCCGGATGTTGGAGAGAGAAACAACAAAGGTCCGATCTTGCCAATCTGGCTCGGCTCTATAGGGACGAGAGACTAAGGGAAAAGGCCGACACTTTCAAGATGGAGAACTGTCGGAAGCTGTCTGACCTCATAGGTATACGCAGAGGTGGCTGAGGTGGAACATTCAGATTCAAATGAGTCCATCTACTCCATCTTCATGAGATCTTTGAATGATGACCACTTAGAACACTTAGAGATAACGGTACTTAATCTTTCTACTGCTCGTTAATATTAGCGCTAATGACTTTTTGCAAGCACTGGAGCCTCTAACCTAATAGGATATCTACAAATTGCCTGTCTAAGGGCCCATACTCACAGGCTTTTTATACCAGCCCTAGGAATGTATGACTATCCCTGTGAATAATGTCCATGGGGAAGTGTAGTAAAGGAACACTCCTGTGAAACGCAGAATTAACAAAAACAATGTCTTCTCAATGTCACTCCAGTTTCCATGTTGGCATCACTTTAGTACACCAGGCCCCCCTGCTCTGCAGATCCATCTGGTTCTTGGAAATTAAGTGGGTTATTCACTAAAGAGCCGAAGGATCCAGCTGTAGCTTCGGCTGATCCTTCGGCTCTCTTCGGCCGCCTCTGGCCTTCCATTCAGTCGAAACGAAGGGCTGCTGTACAGGCTATTCACAATAGCCCGTACAGCAGCCGAAGGCATGTGCATCGGCTCGACTGAGCCAAAGTGACAGCCGGAGCGTGGAGAACAGCCAGCCGAAAGGACGGTCCTTCTCCCTGCAAATGACAGCTGGGTGGAGCCAGCCGTGATCTCATGGCTGGCTCCGCCCAGTTGTGATGACAGGTCAGCACCCCCAAATGACCTGGGGACGCTGATCTGTCATTAAACAATAACAATTGGGCGGAGCCGGCCGTGACGTCACAGTTGTTCATTGGCCGGGACCTGCTAGAAGACTCTGGCAGGTGCCGGCCAATAGGAAACAGTTGGGCGGAGCTAGCTGTCACCGTTAGCTCCGCCAAAATGTTTTTCTTTTGCCGGCGTTTAAAAAAAAATATTTTTCATTTTCTTTTCTTTAAACTATTTTTATTTATTTTTTTCCTATTTTCTGAAATTTTTAAAATAATTTATCAACCTCTTTTTTTAAAATTAATTTCACTTATTTTCTATTCTGCTCGGTACCTCGGCAGAATAACCAAAGCGGCTCGGTGGAATTCGGCTATTCACCTACTGCCGTTCAGCCCCTATGAGAATAGGGGCGAACAGCAGCGAGTGAGCTTTCCCGGAGCTTCGGCTTAGCTGATCCAGATGTTGGATTGGCTGAGTCAAAGTCCTTCTGCACTTCGGCTCAGCCAAACATGTAGAGCATGTTCGGCTGTCCGAAGGCAGCCAATGTACGGCTGATTTTAGCCAATGAAATCAGCCGTACAAGCCAGAAGTGAATAGCCGAACGTTGTTCGGCTCACTTCACTTCGGCTCGGTTAACCACTCGGCTGCCTTAGGCAGCTTTGTGAATAAACCTCTAAGTCTCTTGAACTTCCAGTAATGTAACAAGCATCCAACTACCAAGATCCCAAATCCATCCATCTAAAAAGGTTGAAGGAAATCTAACCTGGCCCAAAACATCTCTAAAGTAATAAAACTGCTAACACGTAGAACCTTTTGGTGCCTTCAAATGCATGTGGTGTTGTTTTCTGTGGAGTGCACCAAGATCCTAGGCCAGTGCTACACACGAAACTTCAATTTCTCTGTGAGCAAAGATTCACCTTTGCCCCTCCCTGACACTAAACCCTGCCCCCTGTATTCAGTTATCAAATGCCCTAACTGGAGTTAGTAGTTGAGTTGAGGGCAGTAAAAGCTTTGGCAGAACGGGGGCAGAGATTAGAACCAGAAAGATGCTGGGCTTAATCCCAACATGGGCAGAAATCAAGGCCTCATGTATGGCCTTAGCCTAGGATGCAGGTGGGTCCCTCAAAGACAAGGCATTGATTATCACAAGTACTAAGATGCACCACAAGGTCCCCACAACAAGAACCCACCCAGGAGAGGCTTAACCTGGACAGCCATTGCACTAGGTGAATCGTAAGGGACTTATGATGTTATCACTGATCCTGCAGACTTGAGGACAAATAATAGAAGATGGCGAGGCTGAGATCTCTGAAACCTATAGAGTTACGGCTGTCCTGGGGTTTTGATCAGAGCACCAACCATACGTATGGTACCGTTAAGTCTCCTGGAAGAATGATGGCTATAACTCTGTGAGCTTTGATTGCTGTCCGTATCCCTGTTGGAGATCTTTCCTCACTTCCCAGCTGGTGGAAATATTCACACAGTGACAGTAAGATGGGGGGAGGAGGGGATCTCTCTAACGGAAACCTGAAGAGCAGCTAAACCCAACCGGGGTTCTTCTTCTTCCCCACTCTATGCAGAACTAAAACAAAAACTTTGGGCTGGATTTACACTTTACGTTATGTTTTAGGCTAGGACCGGTTCACTTTACTCTTACTCAAATTATTTGTTCAGCTTCAAAGCAACCTATTACCAAAAAATGATCTAAAACGTGAAACTGAGTTAATGACTTGATAACAGTTGCAAAGTTTTCCTTTAATGTTCTCTGGCTGGTTTTGCTGGTTGCATGAAGTTGTTTTTCAATGCTCAGAGCGAACAGACAATGGCCTTCTCTATTGGCCACAAGGGCTCAATGTTTGGCCCACCCAAAGGAGATGTTTTGAATGCAGAAGGAGCATTAAGGTTTGGACCACCCAAGGGAGATGTTTCAAATGCAGAAAGAGTCTGAAGGTTGGGAGCACTCAAGGGAGATGTTTCAAATGCAGAAGGAGTCTGAAGGTTTGGACCACCCAAGGGAGATGTTTAAAATACAGAAGAAGTTTGAAGGTTTGGCCCACTCAAGGGAGATGTTTCAGATGCAGAAGAAGTTTGAAGGTTTGGCCCACTCAAGGGAGATGTTTCAAATTCAGGAGGAGTCTGAAGGTTTGGACCACCCAAGGGAGATGTTTCAAATACAGAAGGAGTCTGAAGGTTTTGGCCCACCCAAGGGAGATGTTTCAAATGCAGAAGGAGTCTGAAGGTTTTGGCCCACCCAAGTGAGATGTTTCAAATGCAGAAGGCGTCTGAAGGTTTTGGCCCACCCAAGGGAGATGTTTCAAATGCAGAAGGAGTCTGAAGGTTTTGGCCCACCCAAGTGAGATGTTTCAAATGCAGAAGGCGTCTGAAGGTTTTGGCCCACCCAAGGGAGATGTTTCAAATGCAGAAGAAGTTTGAAGGTTTGGCCCACTCAAAGGAGATGGGAAATGGTGGGTTGAAGCACCCTCTGTCTTTTTGGAAGTTGACCAGTGAGGTTGCCATGTCTTGGTTCCTCTTCTTGCCAGTTCTCCTGGAGTTCTGAGTGTTCCAGTCCACCTTCAGGCATTCCCACGCCTCCTGCTGCGTCATCCATAAAAAAGAACAAACTAACGATCAGACTGGGATAACGGTAATCCATCATTATGAGCCAGAGACTTCAACTGTTTAACTGGGGACACATAAGAATCCATTGGGTGGTCTAACTCTCCAGCATCTTCCCAAAAAAATCTTGGTGGTGGTACGGAGTGGTCTGACACCCAAGAGTGGGCTCAGTAAAAATCCTGTGAGTACAGGCCCAGTTTTTCTTTTAATTCTGGATTTGTTAACTAGTCTTAGACCCGAGAACGGGACGCATCGGACGTATTTTAGTGAGACTTATATACTGTGAACTACATGCTACTGAACAAAGGAAGTGCCAAAACCCCATCCCGGGAACCTTCTCTGATGAACAAACATGACGTACCAACACCGTCCAGCAGGTGGCACCAGTAATATACGAGGGATATCTTTTATGTACATGTTCACTTATGTGAATTAAACATTATGTGCATTAAACATTAGAACCCGTACAGCGCTGTTTTCATTTAAAGCTGGAGGAACAGATGGTTGCTCGGGGCCCCCGGGCTCCAGGGGGGCATGGATAAGCTACAAGGGGTTCTGTCCTTTAATGGTGTTTATGGGTTTATTTAAGCTTTGCACAACGTCAGACCTTTATTGAGAAGGTGATCGGTCCTGGCAGGCTTCGTGTTCCTCTCACTGTATACATGATACATACACACGCTACACTTACCTGTAATCAGAGATGGTCTGTAGACACTGACCTTCATGCATGATCCCATTCAACTGGATGGGGGGCCCAGGAACTGAAAGCAACACGGCAGAGGCGTAACTACAGATCATGGGGCCCCATAGCAAAATTTTATTAGGCCCCCATGGCAACCCCTTTAAAATCAAGGACAGGTAGTAGGAGAGCTGTCTGCATAGTCTCTTCCTGTACATCTGATATCAACTCTTCTTGATTGGAAATGCCATAAGGGGTACAGGGTCAACAGCAACTTCAGAAATCACTCATGGGGCCCCCTTCCATCCCAGGCCCCATAGCAGCCGCATGGGCTGCTATGGCTATTGTTACGCCCCTGCAACCCGGGATCTTGGGTATAATGAATCCAATGCTGATGTTGCGCAGGTAAAGGGCAATTATCAGGAAATTACCCTGGAACTTGGAGGTATTTACAAAGCATTTGATTAGATGGAACGCACGGCGTAAAGAGAAAGCATGTACTCATACTAGGTTCCCCCTTGTATCCCCATCACAACCTCCCCCTCCTCCTTCCCCGGGCTGCACTGATGCAATGACATTGTGCCTGGCCCCAGCATGCTTCCTGCAATCACGTTATGCCTGGCCCCAGCATGCTTCCTGCAATCACATTGTGCCGGGCCCCAGCATGTTTCCTGCAATCACATTGTGCCTGGCCCCAGCATGCTTCCTGCAATCACGTTATGCCTGGCCCCAGCATGCTTCCTGCAATCACATTGGGGCCGGGCCCCAGCATGCATTCTATGCTCACATTGTGCTTGACCAATCACGCTTATGTCATATGCACCCTTATTACTTGAGCAGGCAAAATGGATCTCATCTGCTCCACTCTTCAAGTCCCATGTCCAGGTACGGTTAGGGACAGTGGCGTCACGCAGTGGATGCAGCCCGCACCCGCGTGCCACCATTGGAGGGGTGACACCAAAATGACTGACAGTCATTTTGGTGTCACCCCCTATGAAAAGTCGGGCACTCCGTTACGGACCGAGAGCCCGACGGTGTCAGGAGAGAGGAGGGGACCCGGCGGCATACTTCCTCCCGCCGGGGGAACGTCCCCTCCTCTCTCTGCTGGGTGTCCATCACCAAGATGGCCGCCAGCAGGCGTCAATAAGACGACCGCGCATGTGCGATGATGTCATGGTGGTCAGCAGATGGATGGTGGGAGCCCCTCATAATGGGCACAGCGGGTGTACAGACCCGGGATCTCAGCACAGGGATGGTGGGGGCCCCTCATAATGGGCACAGCAGGTGGACAGCCCCGGGA